GTTGCCGGTTATAACAATGTCATCGACATAGACTAAAATATAACATCGAGTTCCATTCTGATGATAGACAAGCAAAGAAGAGTCAGCTTTAGAGTTAACAAAGCCAAGAGAGTGAAGAAACGTACTCAATCTGTCAAACCAAGCTCGAGGTGCTTGCTTCAGGCAATACATCGCCTTTGTTAAACGACAAACCAGTCCTTCTTGAGAGGGAAGTACCATACCGGGAGGTTGAACCATATACACTTCTTCATTCAGAACACCATGCAAAAATGCATTATTAATATCAAATTGTCGTAGAGGCCAACCATGAGATAAAGCAAGAGTCAATAGCACGCAAATTGTAGTCGGCTTAACCACTGGACTAAACGTCTCAGTGTAATCAAGATCAACTTCTTGATGAAATCCCTGAGCAACAAGTCGAGCTTTATAACGAGCAACGGTGCCATCAGAATGACGTTTAATCTTAAACACACACTTACAACCTATGATATTTTTATCAAGAGGAGGAGAAACTAAAGACCATGTGTTATTTGTAAGCAAGGCATTATACTCCGCTTGCATAGGCATTATACTCCGCTTGCATAGCTTGAACCCACTGAGGACAACGCAAGGTTCCTTGACATTTGGTGGCTCCACTTCACTGTATTCAGTTAAGAAGACTTTAGGTTTGAAAATCCCATTCTTACTCCGAGTAACCATGGGATGCTGGTTACCACCATTTGTTGGAGAAGCTGATGTCGAAGCAGCTGGTGGAGGAGAAATAATGGGAGATGGCAAAGAATCTTGTGCAGATGGAGAATAGATAGATGCAGGAAGAGATGTTTGTAATATAGGATCCAAACAAGGTGAAATTTCAGGTGAAGATTGGGCAATATCACGTGAAACATGTGAAGTTTGATGACTTGAAGAAGGAGCTAATGAAACATTAGAAGAGGACAAAGGAGCAACTCCCAATGGTGAAGGTTCATTTATTAAAGGCGGAGATGAAAGTGATGAGTGGTCTGACAAAGGATCACAATTTTTGATTAATGGAATTTGTGAGACCAAAGGAAAATTATTTGTAATGGAAGAGGACAAAGGCATAAGAGTGGAGGAGAAAGACAAAAATTGGGATGTGGGAAATTTGGTTTCATCAAAAAGAACATGACGAGAAATGTACAAGCGTCCTGTAGAAGATAGACATTTGTACCCTTTATGTACAAAACTATAACCAAGGAATAGACAGGGAGTAGACCTTGGCTCAATTTTGTGACGATTATAAGATCTCAATGATGGATAACAAAGACAACCAAATATCTTTAGAAAGGAAAAGTTAGGAGTGTGGCCAAACAAATTCTCCAAGGGAGACATACGATGATGTATTAAAGTAGGAAGTCTGTTAATGATATATGTGGCGGTGGAAAAGGATCATCCCAAAATTCCAAAGACAATGAAGCATGCGATAGGAGTGTAAGACCCATATCTACAATGTGTCGATGTTTACGTTCCACTATACCATTTTACTGAGAGGTATAGGGGCATGTCAATCGATATTCAATTCCATTAGTTTTAAGATATGGAGCAAAAGAACGAAATTCGCCCCCACCATTGGTTTGTAGACGAAGTATAGATTGACCAAAGAGCTTTTCAACATGAGTTTTAAAAATTAGAAAAGCTTGAAAAGCCTCAGATTTGGCAGTAAGGAAG